AACTCCAGGAATATGGGCCATTATAGGCCTCAGGAGTCAGCAAACTTTTCTGTAAAAGGTTAGTATATCCTTAGGGCCTTGTGAGCCAGAAGGTCTCTGTTGCAACTCCTCTCTACCATGGAGGTTTGAAAGCAGCTGTAGATGATACATAAGGGACCGAGCGTGGTTGGATTTTAGTAAAACTTTATTTACAAGAGCAGGCGCTGGGATCAGCAGATGGTGTCATGGTTACGTCGCTGGACTCTCACGTAGTTGACCGCGATTTAAGTCCTGGATGCAGCAACTTAAAACTCACATGCTGTACAGCAAAAATCTCTTCATTAAAAAACAAAAACTAAAAAACAGGCTCTGGTGACAACTTTGCTATAGGGTGTATGTACTTGCCAGAGAGACAGAAAGTGAGAAATCACCCCCCGCCTTGGGGGAATAGCCATGCTGCAATCAATCCCCTCTTCCATTCTCCTCTTGGGATCTTAGGTATGCACACACACATGCCTGGTGTGAGTTTTAAGCCGCCTGGTTTGGTACTCAAACCAGACCACTCAGTCACGTGGGAGTCCAGCGCCTTAACCATTATGCCACCTGCTGGCCCTAAAGTTCATTCTTTCTTTTAAAAAATGTTTTTAAGAGTTTTTTGTTTTTGTTTTTGTTTTTTTGCTATAGGACGCGTGCACTTGCCAGACAGACAGAGACAGAGAGACAGAAAGCGAGAAATCACCGCCCAGGAGGGATGGCCATGCCGCAATCCATTCTCCTCCATTCTCCTCTCGGGATCTTGGGCACGCACGCACATGCGCCCAGCGTGAGTTTAAGCCACTGGGTCTGGGACTCGAACCGCGGTCAACTACATGGGAGTCCAGCGACATAGCCATTACACTAACTGCTGGTCCTTCTTTTTAAATTTTTTTACATTCAATCACTGCATATCATTATAGCATACCAAATGAATTTTTCCATCATCAATACACTGTACATTGGTTCAGTTAAAGATATTACTATACACATTGTTCATTTTTTTTTTAAAGACATAATAACCTCAAAGATGTTAATATTTTAAAATTTTATATGGGGGCTATTCAAAACTTTAAGGTCAATGTGGATTATTTTTTAAATGATGCATGAATTTCAATTTTGTGCACAAAATATAAGCTCGTTTTAGTTAAAAAAAAAAAAAAAACACTGAAACAAAGCAAAAACAGACACTGGACTGGATTTGACTGTAAGCCATAGCAAACCCACCCTGATCTACACTAACGACCACTGTGCTAGAGCTAAAATCTTCCCCAGGCCTCACCGTGCACCAGGCCCTGCTCTAAGAGCTTTCCCTGGATTCATGCATTTAACACTTAGAACAAGCTCATGAGGCAGGTACTATTAGTGTTCCAATTTCTAGGGAAGGCTCAGGCACTGAGAGGCAAAGTCACTTTCCCAAGCACACACAGCCACTAAGGCAGTTGGTACCTAGGCAGTCTGGCTCTAAAGTCAATACTTGTAACCCTCTTAACTGTTGTGTGAATGAGTTCAGGAGTGATCCCATGAGACTGGGACGTGAAGGTCTTCCAAGTATAAACCATACAGAGGTTCGAAGGTTACTGTTACACAGAACAAGCAACAAACTCTTGTAGCAGAAGTTCCTCTGCAATTAACAGCTGAACCAGTAATTACAAGCAATACAATACAATACCAAGTGATACAATACTGTCCCCTTCACCCCAAGTCCTCAGCCCTCCAGACCTGCAGAGCCTGAGATGTGGCCATTAAAAACCAGCCCAACCTACTCATCTCTCCTTTGGCGTGGACTCTTCTCGAAAGGAGCCTAGACAGCCATCTGCAGTTCCCACCTTACAATGGCACTATTTGTTTAATTGTCCAGTCCTCAAGTTTCTCCCTTCTTAGCCGAGACTGGAGAGTGAGGAGGTTAAGAGATTGAGCTTTTGCATCATACAGAGCAAATTCAAACGCAGCTTTTTGAGCCTCAGTTTTACATCTGTCAAATAGGGATAGGAACGATGTTGATTCAATGTGATCGAGAGTGTGGGCTGCTGGGACCAGCAGGTGGCATGGTGGTTAAGGAGCTGGACTTCTGCACAGTAGATAACAGTTCACGTCCTGGACCTAACGGCCTGAAAAGTCACGTGGGGCACATGTGCATGCGTGCCCAGAATCCTGAGAGAAGAATAGAGGAGAAGGGATTGTGGCATGGCCATCCCCTCTGGATGTGTGTGTGTGATTTCTCAGTTTTCCTCTCACTTTCCCTCTGTCTTTCTCTGTCTCTCTCCAGCAAGTGCACACACTCTATGACAAAAACAAACAAACAAAAATACACCAACCACCAAGCCACTAAGCCGTTCCTAAGTGCCAGTGACTGTCCCTCTTATTGCCCTGGTACTCAGGACCCAGGAGGGCAGTGTGGGTGCTTGAATCAGCTCAGGGTCTACGGTGAGATGAAGCTGAATTCAAATCTCATGTACGCTTTGTCCTAGCCTGTGACCTTACGATGCCACTAATCCAAACTGACACAGTTACCACAGCCACCCCATGCACTATACGAACATCAGTAACTTTTTGAAAAACTCTAATATTTGAGGCCAGCAGGTGACATAGTGGTTACGGCACTGGACTCCCACATGGGCAACCACAGTTCAAATCCTGGACCTGGCGGCTTAAAAATCACACTGGGCATGTGTGTGTGCATGCCCAAAATACTAGAGTATGGTAATCCCCTCCGGGGAGTGATTTCTCACTTTTCCTCTCACTGTGTCTCTTTCTGTTTCTCTCTGGTGAGCACATGTGCCCTATGGCAAAAAATAACTTAAAAAACAAACAAACAAACAAAAAACCTCTTACATTTACTATCACCACTGTTTCAAAGTGGTCATCTTAAAAGACATTTTAATACCTCTCCATGTCCCCCAGAAAAATAGGAAAGGTATAATCCAGTAATAATAAACTCACAGCGGCATTTGGAAACTTACCTCACCCACAGCCTCAGTCCCTGCCTCTGTAAAATGGAGCGATAGCGTATAAACCCGCACATGCACACTGATGCAGCCTTCGCACGGCAGGACTCCAGGGGCCGTTGGTCCCTCCCTGTTCTTCCCATGGAGCAGATTTTCCTCTCACCCCACCCAGATCCCCCCTTGTCTTTGACCTTCCTGGGAGCTGAGAGAAGGACCAGGAAAGAACACCACTGCATTGGATCTTGAAGGGCTTTATTGGGAGTCCGGGGGGAGGTGACAGTACAGGTCAGGGGCCAGGTGGGATGACAGAGTCCCTGTGTCCAGGACGGTGCAGAACTCCGCCAATGGCACCTGTTTTCCATGGCCGCCTTTGAATGGTGCTGTCTGCAGCCTGGCTGGGAGTAGTCTGGAGGGCAAGGTCTGAGGGAGGAGATTTATGGTTGCCCAGACAAAAGGACGTTTGTGTGTCTGAGCTGGTGGGATGGGGTGGGGACAGGGGGAGTGGTTTATGGGGACGAGAATAAGATCGTCCAGGAGAAAACGAGAGAACCAGAGACGCCGCCAACTGGGAGACTCAGAAAAATACACAGGGAGAGAGCAGACCAGAAGACAAAAGAGAAAACTGCAGAGACAGCAGTGAAGAGAGAGAGAGAGAGAGAGCACACCCTGAGCCATCTTGGGTTTTCCCTTCTCAGTTCTGGGAACTTAGTGTCAGGGAGAGTGAAGGGTTGTCAGAACCCGCGCTCCCACCTCAGCCTTCCAAGACAAGCCATGCAGCTCCGAGTCCGTGACATCCCTTCTCTGAGCCTCAGTGTGCTCATCTGTAAAAGGGGACCAGGACTGGGACCAGCAGATGGCATAATGGCTATATCACTGGACTCCCACGTAGTCAACCGTGGTTCCAGTCCTGGACCCAGCGGGTTAAAACTCATAGTGGGTTCCCGTGTGTGGGTGTCCAAAATCCCGAGAGGAGGCTGGAGGAGAAGGGACTGAGGTGTGGCCATACCTCCTTGGGGGTGTTTTCTTGCTTTCTGTCTCTCTGTCTCTCCAGCAAGCACATGTACCCTGTAGCAAAAATATCTCTCTCTCTCAAAAAAGAGGTGGTGCCAGGACCTACCTTCGATGGTCCCACTAACATGAAATGGGAGGAGGGGGGGTGAGATGTCCATGAGCTAATTTTAGTGTTCTTATTTTATTTTAATTTGCCCTAGGGCACATGTGCTCACCAAAGAGAGACACTGAGAGGGAAAGCCAAAAGTCACCCCCAGAGGGGAAGGTCACACCACAGTCCTTTCCCTCCATTCTCCTCTTGAGATTTTCGGCACACACGCACATGTGCCTGTGTTTTTCAAGCTGCTGGGTCTGGAACTCAAACTGTGCAGGTGACCATGTGGGATCCCGCCACCATGACCACCATGCCACCGGACGGCCCTAATGTCAGATTTTTAAAAAACCTGGGTCTGGGGGACCAGTAGGTGGCATATTGGTTATGATGCTGGACTCTCATGTGGTTCAAGTCTCATGGGAACTTGAAACTCAGGTTGGGCCCGTGTGCCTGCATGTCCAAAATCCTGGGAGGAGAACAGAGGAGTAGGGATTGCGGTGTGGCCATTCCCCCGGGGGTGATTTCTTGCTTTCTGTCTCTCTGTATCTTTCTGTCTCTCAACAGAAAAAAACCCACTAAATAAACAAACAAAAGCCGTGGGTCTG